ATAGTTGGGGATGGAAATTTCAGAATTTTTGGTGGCCTTCCTAAGCCAGGATTCAGACACTGCTAGAACATCAGGGTTGGCGGAGTGTGCTAACGCAGTGAATAACTCAAACTTAGGAAGTAGACTTCTGATATTTACGTGCAAGAAACCAAGACTTTTGCGATTACAGAAGTCAGCAAATGATAGCGCCTGGGGAGTAGGAGTGATACTGAGGGCTGCAGGGCCTGGGTTAGCCTCTACATCACCAGAGGAACAGAGGAGGACTAGAATAAGGATACGGCTAAAGGCTTTAAGAACTGGTCTTCTAGTGCGTTGGGTACATAGAATAAAGGGGGCAGATTTCCGGGCGTTGTAGAAAAGATTCAGGGCATTATGTACAGACAAGGATATGGAAGGATATGAGTAAAGTGGAGGTAAACCTAAGCGTTGGGTAACAATGAAAGAGATAGCATCACTGGAGGCACCAATTGAGTCGGTCTCCGCATGTATGGGGGGTGGGACAAAGGAGCTATCTAAGGCAGGTTTAGCTGGGCTGGGGGATCTACAGTGAAATAGTACAATTAGAAATAACCGAAACAACCTAAAAATGAGCCACATTTACGTCTCCTTAAAAACAGCCTATAACAAATTACAAAAACACTATTCCTCGTTTCGATGTGTAGTATATGCAAAACTTTATGGTCAATTTGAATACTTTTTTTGTGCAAACATTTCTAAAAACCTGTTTTTCATTTGTCATTATGGGGTATTGTGTGTAGATTGATGAGGAGAAAAACAATTTAATCGATTTTAGAATAAGGCTGTAACGTAGGCTCTAAAGTCAAGGGGTCTGAATACTTTCCGAATGCACTGTAGTGCAGGTATAGCCTACTACATGATGAGATTATGTACAAAATGATTATGGACAAAAGCGCAAGATTATTGTTATGTCAATTGGCACCCAAGCATCGATCATCATGTCACCAGAATAAGACCATTGATATTTATTGAATGGAGAATCAACCTCATTACTGTGCACTTTCACCACCCTGTGAAGTTCATCATAACTTAAATCTGTAGCCTAATAAACTGCATGCTTTCCCATGATGTGGTGACATTTTCTATCAAGACATTTAGGTTACTTTACTCGCATAAAAAGGTTGGATTGAAACCTGGTAAATGTCAAGCCATTTTGAGGATGCTGGAATTATATTTTGTGCATGCCTATTGGAGACTCTTGAAGTAGCCTAATCAGATTCAAACTTTGTGATAGGTTGTGTTTTTGCCACATATTAAAAGGTAATACATTAAAAGTAAAATGTTAAATATTTAGGCTATATTGAAGCGTTAGGTTCAAGGTGCGCGAGGAATAGCTGCTGGGATTAGAGAAGAGGCAGAGCATGTGTTAAGCTTTCCTGAATAACTGGGCCTGCCGGGAGCATGCACTCCGCCTCTCCGCTGCCTTTCAGCTATTCCTATTTGTCTTGTTGATTCATATTTAAAAATAATAATAATTATACAGCTTTGAATGTTTTTATGTGTGGTATGATTGCTAGTTAGCCTATTGCAGATCTGGACAAACTATTCAACTACCACGATTGTCAATATGAATGAATGGTGGATAGAGGGCAGGATGGACCGTTAGACCATATTGACCTTTGCTATAGTAAAAGTTAGCACATGGAAAAGCATAGTGCATGAGGGAAGTACCAAAACACCTTGATATAGGGGAGGTGCATGTAAGCAGATTTGAAAATGGAAGAAATTATATAGTAAAACCTGCAAAAGAGCGAATGTAAACCAGGGGGAAAACGCACTACCCTCCCTTGTGCCGAAAAAAATATAAAAAATCCCCCCCAAAGCAAAAAAAAAAAACCTCCCAGTAAATTGTGATCTGTCCCTTAGTTGTGACTATAGAACATTTAATGAAAAAGAAAAACAACATTCAGAGGATCTGTAGTGCAAAACATTGAAGACGATTTTTATTTTTTATTGTTCACAGTTAAACACAAGCAACTGCTTTAAAGAACTTTGTTTGCCTCTTTTCAAAAATCTCCAGCTCCAAAAGGAGTCCCAACTCAAGCTTTCCATTCAGTTCACGCTTGAGTGTGCCTTCTATCTTGGTTTGTTGTAGTTCCTACTACTTACTATACTGTACTGTTGGCATTAAAGTGGATTGTTGAACATGCTTTAGATAGCAAGGCAGAGGGAATGACAGCTGAAGTTCCCAGTGGACAACAGGATTTATGACCATTTCAACACATGGAAGAACCCAACTTTCAATGTCCACATCAAAGTAAAATTCTACCACTTCTTACTGAAAAGAAAGAGGCAATTCTGACTGCCATAGGTCAGTTGGACCAATAAGAATCAATTGGCAGAGACTAGTTTTTTTCTCAGAAAACATGACACATGTAAACCTTTTACGCAGAACTCAGCCCTTTTGAGAGACACCCAGACACAGGGTTGGGGAGTAACTGATTACATTTAATCAGATACATGTAATCTGATTACAAAAAAACTAACTAATCCGTTACCAGCAAAAATATTGTAATCAGATTACAGATACTTTTAAAACTAGAGGAATACTTTGTGAATTACTTCTGAAAGGATGTTGTGAAATACATTGACACCTTTCTGTTTCTCACCGACATTCAATTCAGCATTGAAAAATGTCGCAATTTAAAGTTTGTTCCACCGGAGCAAATCTGACCACAAGTCAGAGACCACTATGATGACACACCAAATGTGTTTGATGGATCCTCTTTGTCTTCTTCTAATGACTCTTAAGGGGAAAGTAATCAGATTACATTACTGAGTTTGGGTAATCCAAAAGTTACTGATTACAATTTTGGACAGGTAACTAACGGATTACATTTAGAAAGAAACCTACCCAGCCCTGCCCAGATACATAACATATCAACTAGAATAGAAACACTTGGTGAGGTGAACGTGTCATTTTGAAATGGTTGTATTTAGTATTCGATTAAAATGTTTGGCACGTTCAAAGTGTCTTTCTGTACACTTTCTGTAAGTGAACTCGAACAGAAAACACTGCTTTATACAGGTAGATGTATTGCAAATTATTTGTTGGAATGAACATAGCATGAGTATGACCTAAACTCAAGATATGTGGTTCTCATGAGCAACATTAGTTGCAGAACGTTGCAGGTACTTTAAGCATCTTATATTTTTATACTCTGTTAACAAATGCTGATGTCATATCAATATTCCAGTTTGATAATAAATGTTATTGCAAGTTTCAGTAATGTTCATCAACACTAACAGGAATGTAAATGGAATATATCCCCAAAATACTTATTCTTACAGGTTGCAAAGCACCTTGCAAGGCTAGGACTACTTGGGGAAGGGAGTGATCATGAAATAATAAATAAAAAATAAAAAAAACTACTCATAAAAAGCATTTCTAAATGTTGCCCATTTTTCTTATTGCAAATTCACTTAAACAACATACACTTGCATACAAACAAACAAACTCTGCACAAACACACTGTCTTCAACACATGGGTCGTACCACAAAGAGTGCCCTTTGATATTTTAAGTAGACATTGTTTTGCACCGATATTGAATTTCAAAAGCGTCCTTTATTATAGACCACATGGAGAATTCGATAAGTCCCATTTTATATGAATAAAGACTTGCTAAAGTGCCACAATTCAGCATTTTGACATGTCCCTCCGTGCACCCCTTGTGACTTATAGGAAGATTTTAGCCCACTTAATCCCAACATTTCTCCAAATGTTCACTATCATTGTAAAGCCCTAGTTATTTTGTTGCTTTGACAAAGTAATTTCTGAAGATTATTATTGATTTCATGTGATTAGTGATCCATTTACGTCTGTCCCGCATTTTAAGGTCAACCCTGTTACGTGAACTGAACTCTCGTTTTAATATTCCTTAAAAAAAAAAAGCAGTTCAGCTGGTTCTACTCTGTCATTTTCTCGTGTTTTGTGGTGGAAAACTGAGTGGGTCAAGCATAACACTTCAACCCGGTTACCCATAGATAGACAGGCTAGAAATGTTTTAACAATAAAAAGTTAAAATGTGAAGCTTGCATTCAATTGCCACTCTGCTGCACAAAACAAGCTTCCATTTCCTCTGTCACAAGGGGATTTTTGGCTGATTTAAGATGAAATCGTCAACTCTTACTTTATTACTTTATTTAGCACTTACTATAGTCATTATTTTATTTAACATGTGCTCTTTATGACAAAATTAGGTGAAATCAAACGTTTTTTGATCAAGTTACACTTATCAAAAGACACTGAATTGGTGGAACGACCCATATACTAAAGGACATTTCTGTCAGGAATGCAGGCCTAATGAAATTAGCATGGAAAAGCAATCCTCTTGCTACAGTATAGTTTATTTACAATGCAACAGTCAAACTCCCTGGTTCCTCCCCAGGAATAGCAGAGGAGTTTGAATTACGGACAACAATCCCATACTTGGCACAGCTACCCTCCAAGCCTTGAGGATCACCCCACCCCCTTCCTCACACAACATCAGTACAGGTGCTCAAGATGGACATTAGTCAACCAAAACCAGGCTTTCAGAAACATCCTTTTCTGACACATCCTACAAGACTCTTACACCTTAGTGTCTTATATTGGTCTAATTTGTGTCATTTTTTATATAGAGTATTTTTATAACTTCAAATAACGGATTTGGAAATAGGGTGTCTATTTATATGAAATTGTTCGAAAAACTCCCAAATGTCTAAGTATAACTGAAAGCAGATAAAGATAATGTGGTCTCTGCTGGTATATTGCAACATTACCTCCTTATTTAAACCTTCCTTCCAATCTTTACATTTGATAGGGGAGTAAATCAAATCAGTGGTTCAAATCCTGTTGTCCACTTGAGGGAATGGGATAAATAACACAATTTAAAAAGAGCTTTATCTTTTACTGTTTGTAGCTCTTGCTCCGGCCGACCACTCAGTCCTACTCTCCTACTCTCCATCCTCTCTCCTCTCCGGTCTCAGTTATTGTCTTTTAACTGTGCTTGTGATGCGTTTCGTTGTAGTCCATGATCCTTAGTTGCGGTTGCTGTCTGGGTCGTGCTGAACTGGCCGCCGCCCCTCCCCTTGCTCCTCCCATCTTCCGTCTGGTAGTCTCCTGCTTGGTAGCTCTCTGCTTGGTTTCAGGCGGGTGCTCCTTGGCGGGCACAGTGAGAGGGGCACCCAGTATAGACGCAAGGGCAGGGGAAAGGGTAGGGACAAGGGTAAGGTTAAGGACAGGGTTAGAGACAGGACATGTCAGAGCATTCCCCAGTGGGGGAAATGAGGGCTCCACACACAGCTCAGTCTTCAGGCACTGTGAAAGGCCGGCCAGGCGGGGGGGCGGCGGCTCCTCGTCACACTGGCTCTCGCTCTTGTTCCGGAACAGCTCCCGCGCCCGCATGCCCAGGAAGCTCTTGGCGCTGGGGTAGGAGCCAACAGTGAGGGGGGTGGCGTCGGGGGGCAGTGGGGGGGCATGGGGACAGGAGAGGGAAGGCTCCACAAGGAGAGGCTTGGGGACTTCCTGGGTGCCGTTGACCGAGTTGACAGGGGGCGACTTGGGGGGGTTGTTCGCCTTTGGTTGCCCTGGAGATAAAGTGATGCCGTTGCGTCGTGGGGACTGAGGTGGTCTGCCGTCATCTGAGCACTCATTGGTCCCTGATGTGACTGGTCCATCTGGCTCCATGATACTGCCATTACCATAGAGACAGGGGAGGAAAACATGGAAGGGGATTACTTTCAAATATACATTTGGCTTCTAATGGCACATACACACACACACACACCTTTCCACATGTGCATTCCATAAAGTTAAGCAAATGGAACTTTAACAGTTTGACTGCCATCTCACCTAGAGTCTATAGGAGGGCCAGGATCGGTACTGCTGCCCCCTGCTGAGGCTGTGGTAGAGCAGACATGACCCTCCATCTCCAGTCTACTGTAGAGCTGCAGCAGCTCCGTCTGCAGGAGCTGGGTCACTCTCCTCTGGGCCTGGTACCTGCTGTCTGACGCCTGCAGCTCGCCCCTGCACAGAGACAGATGGACATGTTCATATCGCACACTTACAGAGACAAAAACAGAGCTAGCTGATGTGCTAACACATACAGTTGTGCATAAAAACCCACAAACCAACTGCGTTGATCCAAAACAACAATACAATGAACCTCAAAGGGAGCTTGTAAATAAGCCTTGAGGCCTTTTACACCTCTAAAACTGGAGTGCTCATACTTAGCCCGGCCCTTGACGTCCTCCAGGAACTTCTTCTGCTCCACGATGAGGTGTTCCTTCTTGGTGAGCTGTGTCTCCAGCTCGCCCACCCTCTGCTGCGCTGCCTCCAGCTTCTGGCCCTGCTGCAGCAGGCTCTGCCTCAGCCTCTCCACCTCCTTCCCCCAGGATGCCTGCACCATCTGGGCCTCCTACAGGGAGAAAGAGAGGGTGGTGGCATGGGGACTGTTAAACTAGTCTGGCCAGGATTTGGCCAGTGGCCTCCATGAGAGGTATCGTCTGGTATGTATAGAGTACCACAGTATGAATCATAAAACCTAGCGGTCAAACAGGGAAATGGTTCCAATCGTTGTTGGAGCGGCAGGTAGCTTAGTGGTTAAGAGCATTGTGCCAGTAACCGAAAGGTCGCTGGTTCTAATCCCTGAGCCGACTAGGTGAAAAATCTGTCGATGTGCCCTTGAGCAAGGCACTTAACCCTAATTGCTCCTGTAAGTCGCTCTGGATAAGAGCGTCTGCTAAATGACTAAAAAGAAATTCCACCATAAACATTTTCCCATAGGGGATTTTAGAAACACTTAAATTCAGGGCTGTGTTTCATGTAGGCTTACCCTGGTGTGACGTTTTGATAACCGTGCAAATTGCTCTCGGACAAGGTGACTTTTGTCAATATATTTGTCTGCATTTACCCCCCCAAAATTAAATGCTAATTATCTGCTAATGTGGCTATCACACAGAACTACAAATGCCATGATGATCTGGACGAGACTGCCAAATCGGTAAGAATCTCTCGATTAACTATCTAATGTTACCTAAACGTAGTAATGAATAAATTGGCAACATTTCTATAAAATTGACAATTCTGTGAACTCTCTTGGGCAAGTTTTAAAATGACACAATACCTGTTAGCAAAGGTGTCAGCTAGAGATGACGAGCAGGAGCTTGCAGGGATTTGTAGTCTTGCATGAGGTCTACCTTGCTGCTAATTAGCATTTTCGAACCTGAGAGTAAATAGAGCCGAATATATATAAAAGTCACCTTGTCCGAGAGAGATTTACACGGTTATCAAAAATCCCCTATGGGAAAAATGAATGGTGGAAAAACGATTGGAACTATTTCCCTGTTTGACTGCTAGGTTTTATGGGTATTATGACACATAAATTGTGGGGATCTATAGGTTGTTGTTCCTCTCCAAATACATACGCCCCTGACAACTTTTACCACAATGCAATGGAACACAATATGGAAGACAGGTCTTTTAATTGATTCAGCTTTTACCCATACAGTAGTACTGATTCTGTTCCTCTTTTCCCCCTCAGTTCCTCTTATTTTGTTCTCAATGGCCCTTGGTCCCTTACCATGGCGTTGTCTGAGCCTGTGTGCTTCTGCCGCTGTACAGCCAGCTTGTGGGCCTCCCCCAGGAGCAGCAGCTGCTTGTTCAGGAAGCTCATCTGCTGCTGGGTGCGCTCACTGGTGCTCAGCTGAAGGACACACGGGACAACCAATCAGAATGGAGACCAACCCCACAAAGCCCTCTGTTTGGTTTATTTATGGATACACTATGTTCTTAGTCCTTTTATCTTTCCACATACAGCGTCTGATTTACTACAAGTGGCAAGCAGAGCATCCATGTTGATTGATTTTACAGCAGGAGAGCAAGTAGATCTAGATGAGGTGCCTCACCTTGGTGGTCATCTGGTTGAGTAGGTGCCCCGTGTGGCACACCTTGTTGTTGGACCTCTGCAGATCTGCCTCCAGCTCATTCATCTTCTTCTGATACTCATTCAACTGACTCTGGAGAGGAACATCAGAGAGGGTACAATACAGAGTATGGAAGATTTGATATACATTATTCTGTGTGTGTGTGTGTGTGTGAGCGCATATGTGCGCAATCTGTGTAAATGTGGTCATGTGTCTACCTGCAGTTCCTGGTTCTTGGTGTAGTAGTCGTCCCGGCCCTGTTGTAGCTGGCGGACCTGGCTGTGTAGTCTTGTGACCACAGTCTCTCTGTCGTCCCACAGCTGTCTGCACCGCTGCTGCTCCACCTGCAGACTCTCCTTCAGAGACACGATGTCCACACTCTGCAGGTTCAACTGGTCCTTCTGCAGGCGGACACAGGGAGAGAGGATGACAGACCGCTCACTGTTTCTGAAGAAATCTACAATGACATATGATTTAATGAAACATATCATTTGTGAAACTTGTTTTTCACCATATGCAACAAAGGAAAACCTACTCTACTGAGCCACTACACGCAACAAAGTCGGTGAGTGAAATGGATCAAGAGCAGGCTCCTGTTTTGTGATACTTATCAACAAAACATCTACTTCTTCGTGATACTTTTAAAGATAACCGTCTTAAGACAGTCACGATTCCAACACCACTACCTCCCAAACAATTCGCACTAGTTCTGAGAAGCTACTGGACAAATCCGGGAGGGGAGGAGCTGGTGCATTTATTACCATGGCGTTGTTCTGCTCCTCCAGCGCGGTGGCATTGATGATGCGTCGCAGTAGGCGTCGGTTGCGGACGGCATGCTGCTCTCTCTTGTAGCGTTCGTACAGCAGCTGGCTGTGCAGCAGGAGCAGCTGGCTACGCAACGCGTGCAGCTCGTCCACCGGAGCCGAGCCTGGGGAGGGAGGACAGGCACACAGCAGGTTAACAACAACCAGGAAAATGATGCCCGTCGTAGAATTATAATTATCAGGATAAGACTGAATTAATTTGGTTCCTCTCATGCGATGACAACAAGGAACTTCCAGCACATTGTTTGTGGGAATTAACTGTTAACTCCACACTGTAGAAGTTGTGGTTTATTTCACTGGGTAGATGTGAAGTTTTATGATGGATTGATTTTATTTCTGCCCCTCTCCTAATGCTATTCTGTGCTCAAACAATTGTACTGTTCATTACATAGATATAGCTTTGTTTCTATGGTTCATTAGCTCTAATTTCATCAGGCCCACATACACAGTACATAACACCTACTTTAAGTAATATCTTGAAAATTGATTATTCATAATCCTTTAGTTATGCATGAAGGTGGTATGACTAGTTCATTGCATGTAGTCACACTAACACAGAAAAAAGGGAACTGAGTAGGTGTAGATAAAATAAAACTGGCAGATAAAATCTATGAGAACTTTACACCGAGGCCTCTCAGAGTCATGAGGGAGCTTACATAAGTTAACCACAAGCTCTTTGTGGAGTTGGTTTCACACACAATCAAAAATACATGACTTATATAAGCTTATTCAATTCCAATGCTCTAACTTGGCAGGCTGAGAGGGAGGTTTGGCCCAGACAAAAGGCTGTTATACAGTGATCAGCAGCTGGAGATGGTTAAGACAGAGCCCCTTGTTCGCACCCAGGGAGGATCTCACATAGCAGCTAGGATCAGCTCAACTGATCTGTAACTTTTATTACTATTCTACCTCCAAAAGGCACTTATGAGTGGGAGAACATTGTCAAATAGCCTCCGTTTCTGCCTGATGTAGGAAAACTACATTGTAGTCATTGTAGGGTAAACACATCATGAGGCCTACATGTCCTGAAAGCTGTGTTGCACTAGCTGAAAGTACAGTGTTGCTGCTGTGCTCTGGTGGTGGTTGTATACCTCCAAAATGTGTCCAGTCAGCTGACTTGCTTGGCAAAGGTAATCTGTAAGAGAGAGAGAGAGTCATGACTGTTTAAAAACAGTGTCAGTTCAACAGAGTCAGCATTGGGACAGTACATCAGACTCCGTCACCCCCATAGAAAGATCTGAACGGTAGATCCCAGTCTTCTCGACCCATCTGGGCTTGGAGACACACCTTTCTGTGTACGGGGCCTCTGTCCCTGTCAATTACATCCCTCAAGCAGGGCATGGCCTGCTATTCAGCTTTGGGGAAGATACTAAAGAGGTGGGGGCGGTGGGGGATGAAATGAGCAGAGCCAGATTGTTCTGTGCAGAGCTCCAACTCTGCTGACACGGTCTCTTCTGCTGTTGTATTATTGGCTTAGGAGCGAGGACAGTGTGTGTGTGTGTGTGTGTGTGTGTGTGTGTGTGTTTGGGGGGTGTCAGACAATGCCTGTAGTTGTTCTCACTGAGCTTTACCCGTGGGCCAGGCCAGTGGACTGGAAAGGACCAAGCCCAGTTATACACAGTGAGCGTCACATCACATACACTCTGGCTTTCCCTTGCTTTCAACACATACAGCACACAGACACCCATGTTATTGGACTAGGTACTAAGACGACCCATATTCAGATGGTTTTGATGGAGACTGATAAGCATAAAGCTGGTCAGACAGCTGTGATCTGACACAAATATTAAAAGCTGGGCCCCTCACCTGTTGAGCACCTTGTCGTGGGCGTCGCTTCCCTGCTGAACGAGACGATCCAGCACCTCCAGGGGGGAAGCCGACACCATCCCCTCGCCCTCCTCCTCCCTGTCCTCCAGCCCCTCCTGCCGCTGGCACAGCCTCTCCAGGGCAGCCCTGCCCAGGGCCTCCGACGTCCTCCTCCCCACGAAGAGGGATGCGGCCCGGGGCAGAGCCAGGTCAAACAGGGCCTCGTAGGGCAGGGAGGGGTTCTTCATGGAGGGGCTGGGGGAGAACAGGCCACCGAACTTGGCCACCTCGTCCTCTGGGGCAGAGGGACTCTGGTGGAGGGGGTGTTCGATGGGGCTGAAGGGACACATGGGTTGGAAAGACCAGGACTGCTCCAGGGCCAAGCCCCTACTATTGTCCCCACCACCATTAGCCCCCTGGGCATTCTCCAGTGCCTTGTCTAGGGTGGACACAGCATGGTGGGGGTCCCGGGGCAGCGTGGGGCCGCCCATTGGGGGGTTGGGCAGGGGCTTCTCCTGGGTACCTGTCAGGGTCTCGGTGGTGCGGTAGAACGGGGAGTCAAAGCCCCTCAGGGCGGCCAAGTCCCGCTTGTCCTCCGTGATCTCCAGGAGCTCCTCTGTGATAGCAGCTGGTGAGTTTTTGGGGAGGTAAAACAGGGGACATGAGGAGGCTTGTAGTGGAACAGGCGTTTCAGTCATTGGTGCATTAAGACTATTGCTATGAAATGTATATGGTTCACTCTCATTCAAATGAAAATGTTATGTCAGCCTCATTTAGACCAGCACACTCCTATTCTCAGTCAGTGTCCTCACCCTCTTCCCTCTCTGTCCTCAGCTGAAGCTCCAGCTCCTGCTCCTTCATAAAGACTGAAAGTTCTGTCAGTGTCATGGAAACGGTCTCACCACCACTTGCATCTAGTAAACAGAAGACAGCCAATAAACATACAGTTTTACATAAAAACAATCTTCCACCAGAGAACATGGATCGACAAGGGTTAAGAACCAAGGACTTGGTAAAAAGCATACAAATGTAATATCCAACTCCACATTTTTTATGATGACTGACCTCTGTTGTTGTTGATGATGAACTCTCCACCTTTCTCAGGATCTCTGATTGGTTCTTGCCTCACCAGGCTGGGTTTGGATGCTTCTACAGGGCGGCCATGCTGAAAGTGAACAGTTTTTATTGTAATTTTTATTAAACCTTTATTTAACCAGGAAGTCCCAAGGTCTCTACTTACTACACTACAAAGGCCAGTAAAGCCCATCGTGGGCATGGATGTCATACTCTACCTTCCGGGATGGACTGGTGGTGTTGGAGGTCAGAGGGATGGTGGGGAACTCATCAGAGAGGGTGGGGGGCGGGGAGGTGGTGGCAGGAGTACTTGAGGCAGGTGTTCCTTTCCCGCCTGCTTACAGAAGACAGTAATTAGGAACAAATACCAACGGAAATGTCATGTAGGATTAATCACATGACAAAACCTGACCAATAAATGTTGGGATCAGTTGCTAAAGCATGATTGTTATATCATATGAATCAATATCGTTTATCAATTCCATATTAAAACAAATAATATATTGTAATAGGCCTTTTTGCACTACGTCAGTTTGAAACCGGTTTCATAGAGAAACTGGTTCCACGACACATATGCTACACAGGCAGTCCAATTCTGACTTTTATGCCCAATTATTGGCAAAAGAGCTTATCTGATTTGTCAAAAGACCAATAAGTTAAAAAAAGATCAAAATTGGGCTGCCTGTGTAAACGCAGCCATAGTTTTACAGTGTAAAGATCTGGTTTCAAATCTGACTTTCCGAAGCCACATCCGCAGGTAGTGCGGGACACACACTTCTACACCACAAAACCCCCAATGAGTGGTATAGTGTAAAGACAATGGCTTTCCAACACCATTCTATTTCTATGATGCAGACACACATGAAGCTATGTAAGGATACTGTAAACAGATAAATTGACAATCTGATGTTGAAGAAAGACAAATCCTTCTTCACATATTTTAAAGGTTTCTAAAAGCATGTTGGTTATATAATACAAGTCAATATTGTTTATCAAATCTATATTGAACAAAAATATAAACGCAATATGTAAAGTGTTGGTCCCATGTTTCATGAGCTAAAATAAAAGATCCCAGAAATGTTCCATATGCACAAAAAGCTTATTTCTCTCAAATGTTGTGCACAAATTTGTTTACATCCTTGTTAGTTAGCATTTCTCCTTTGCCAAGATAATCCATCCACCTGACAGGTGTGGCATATCAAGAAGCTGATTAAACAGCATGATCATTACACAGGTGCACGTTGTGCTGGGGACAAAAGGCTACTCTAAAATGTGCAGTTTTGTCACACTACACAATGCCACAGATGTCTCAAGTTTTGAGGGAGCGTGCAATTGGCATCCTGACTGCAGGAATGTCCACCAGAGCTGTTGCCAGAGAATTGAATGTCCATTTCTCTACCATAAGCTGTCTCCAACGTCGTTTTAGAGAATTTGGCAGTACGTCCAACCGGCCTCACAACCTCAGACCACGTGTAACCATGCCAGCCCAGGACCTCCACATCTGGCTTCTTCAGCTGCGGGATTGTCTGAGACCAGTCACCCGGACAGCTGATGAAACTGAGGAGTATTTCTGACCGTAATAAAGTCATTTTGTGGGGGGAAACTTATTTTGATTGGCTGGGCCTGGCTCCCCAGTGGGTGGGCCTATTCCCTCCCAGGCCCACCCATGGCTGTGCCCCTGCCCAGTCAAAAATCCATAGATTAGGGCCTAATTCATTTTTCAATTGACTGGTTTCCTTATATGTACTGTAACTCAGTAAAATCGTTTAAATTATTGCATGTTGCGCTTATATTTTTGTTCAGTATAGATCAAATCACACAAACACATATGTTGTATAGATGAATTATCAATTTTCACCTGATGTGCTGTGGACGCGGTGGCCTGAGAGGTAAGAGGCACTATGGGAGAGCTCTGGGTTGGGTGACATGCCCCTGGAGGAAGGGGGTGTGGCCATACCACACAAGGAGGTAGGGCTCCACAGTTCTTTTCCCCCACAGCTGGAGTTGAGTTCACAGCTATAGTTCTGAAGGAAGACATTCACAATGTTACCAGTTAAAAAGGTCCAATGCAGCCATTTTTATCCCAATATCAAATCATTTCTGGGTAACAATTACAGTGCCTTCGGAAAGTATTCAGACCCCTTGACATTTTGCCACATTGTTACGTTACAGCCTTATTCTAAAATTGATTTTTTTTTTTTACAATGCTCAGCAATACCCAATAATGACAAAGCGAAAACAGGTTTTCAGAAATGATTGCAAAAAAATAAAAATAATAATGAGAAGAAATGCCTTATTTACATAAGTATTCAGACCCTTTCCTATGAGACTCGAAATTAAGCTCAGGTGCATCCTGTTTCCATTGATCATCCTTGAGATGTTTCTACAACTTGATTGGAGTCCACCTGTGGTAAATTCAATTGATTGGACATTATTTGGAAAGGCACACACCTGTCTATATTAGGTCCCACAGTTGACAGTGCATGTCAGAGCAAAATCAATAGGGGAAGAAGGGCCTTTGTCAGGGAGGTGACCAAGAACCCGATGGTCACTCTGACAGAGCTCCAGAGTTCCTCTATGAAGATGGGAGGACCTTCCAGAAGGACAACCATCTCTGCAGCACTCCACCAATCAGGCCTTTATGGTAGAGTGGCCAGATGGAAGCCACTCCTCAGTAAAAGGCACATAACAGCCCTTTGGAGTTTGCCAAAAGGCACCTAAAGACACTCAGCCCATGAGAAACAAGATTCTCTGGTCTAATGAAACCAACATTGAACTCTTTGGCCTGAATGCCAAGCATCACTTCTGGAGGAAACCTGGCACCATCCCTACGGTGAAGCATGGTGGTAGCAGCATCATGCTGTGGGGATGTTTTTCAGCGGCAGGGACTGGGAGACTGATCAGGATCGAGGCAAAGATGAACGGAGCAAGGGACTGGGAGACTGATCAGGATCGAGGCAAAGATGAACGGAGCAAAGAACAGCGAGATCCTTGATGAAAACCTGCTCCAGAGCGCTTAGGACCTCAGACTGCAGAGAAGGTTCACCTTCCAACAGGACAACGACCCTAAGCACACAGCCAAGACAACGCAGGAGTGGCTTTGGGACAACTCTCTTGAACCCGATCGAACATCTCTGGAGAAACCTGAAAATAGCTGTGCAGCAACGCTCCCCATCCAACCTGACAGAGCTTGAGAGGATCTGCAGAAAATAATGGGAGAAACCACCAAATACAGGTGTGCCAAGCTTGTAGTGTCATACCTAAGAAGACTCGATGCTGTAATCGCTGCCAAAGGTGCTTCAACAAAGTACTGAGTAAAGGGTCTGAATACTTATGTACATGTAATTTCAGTTCTCTCTTTTTAATAAAATTAGCAACAATTTCTAAAAACCTGTTTTTTATTTGTCATTATTGGGTAATTGTGTGTAGATTGATGAGGGGAGAAAACAATTTAATCAATTTTAGAATAAAGCTGTACCGTAACAAAATGTGGAAAAAAATCAAGGGGTCTGAATACTTTCCGAAGGCACTGTAAGTACCTTACTGTGATTGTTTTCAATTAAAATTGTCAAAAATAAGCAAAAATGGCTTCTTAGCAAAGAGCATTTTCTCAAGCAAGATTGTCAGAGTGGTCTGAGTGGGGAGGGGTAAACTGAAAACTAGTTGTTATTGGCAGAGCGGTTTGAAACTCTTTTATTGGTTTATTAACTAACTTACCGCCTGGTGATGTCTTTTCAAACAGTTTATACACTAAAAGGGCATTATCATCATTTTTACAATTTCGCAGTATTATTCCAACCATAGTGTGGAAATATATGAAACACAGGAAAATCGTGTTTTTGACTGCACAGGGCCTTAAGTATTAATTCCACACATAATTATACTAAAATGGTTGATAATGATTTGGTATACTATAAATTGTATCTGAAAATTAGGCTACAGTGTTTCTTTTCAGGATTTAAGTTTCCTACAGACAAATCCTCAGCCAGACAGACAGACCCAGAGGGCTGAACAACACCAGGACCCCCTGCGTAGGCCGCTCACAAATAGAGAGGGACAGACAGCATCGCCAGGGCAACCAGCCCATGTGACAGACCATAGTGGGATGGCAGGACGGGGGCGTGAGGGCATGTTTTCTACTTTCTAAAGCCTGACACCACCGCCCGCCAGTCTTGCCCACTCTGATGACTCAAAGCCTCTCCTCCCTCAGCTCTCCCTCTCTAAAGCACTCCCTCCCTCCTCTCCAAAAACAAGGGGGCGATTCATAGGCCCGCAGGGGAGAAAGGGGGGGCCAGTGGGTTCAGGGACAAGCGATTGACTAAGAACATCTGACACAGCCAATATATCAAGTGTAAACACCCTCTGCAAAACAACAAGAAATGCATAGAGAAGAAGCAGCAGCAGATATCAGCGGCTGCCAACTCCGGCTGACACTGGCCTCCAACAAACACTTTCTATCTAGGAACTAATCTGGACACATTTACTATGGGTCAGTGCACCGAAATGTTGTGCAACAGAAATGCTGTGTGTCTGTGTTGGGGTGTTACCTGACGTCTGGAGGTCTGGGGGCTTCGATAGGAGGACTGGGTCCCTGACAGAGGGGGCAGGGACAGGGGTGGTGGCAGGGGCTGGCGGGGGGTAGAGAAGGGGGTCAAAGAGGAGCTTCCTGTGGGGAGAAGAGGAGAAGGAGGAACAGTCTGACTCACTCATATCGATGTGTTAAATAAATCTCCATTCATTCTCCACTTATCAACAACACCATTATGACCTCATCACAAACCAACCAAGGCTTCTGGCAGCCAAACAACGTTAGAAACAAATTATTTCAGATGATTGATAGTTAGAATTCAAACGACTGAGTGAAAAAAATGTAAACAAATTTTGAACATGAACAATACTCAGTGAGAACACCAATCAAACTGTTATGTTATTCCTATCCACCAATGAGAGGTGAGAGGTGTGTGTGTGTGTGTGTGTGTGTGTGTGGGGGGGGGGGGTGCTCTCACCGAAGCTGCTGTGGAAGTCTGTGAAGGGGCTAGAGGCTGAGTCTTTTGGGCAAAGCTGCATCTGGGGGTAGAGGTTTTCGGGCATGGTGGCATAGCCCTCCTCACATGATGCTTCCTTGGGGTCCAGAGACACTTTTGCACATTCTATGACGATGTCATGGATCTCAAACCTCTTCCACCTGCAGGGGAACAGAATGGTCAATCCCACTGAGAAAACGATGTAATAATAATTTCTCATTTGTTCATACAGCAGATAAGCTCTTGACTTGGTTGACAGAAAATGGTATATAAACAAGAGAGTGAAGCTTGAGATCTGTGATTGACTGACCTGGTGGGATCAAGCTCATGGTCCTTAGTTCCAGTAACTAGTTCCGGGTGTATACGGACGTGTTCTAGCATTGGCTGCAAAAAAAATGGGAAAGAACAAAAAATAAAATTATGGAACCATTTAGATACACATATTCTTATTATATTTCTATGGGTAGAATGTCTTCATGAAGATAACTCAACAGAATAAATTGAAGATTGATCACATGAAACAGCGATGGTCTCTCACCTTCACCACTTCCTCAAAGGTGTCCACGTTCTCCTTCATGCTGTAGTGGGAGCGTAGGTAGGACACAAAGTTGCAGGGGTACATGCCGTAGAGGCGGTGGAAGAGCGAGTAGACGCTGGCGTGCAGGTGGATGAGGTACACCTCGGAGACGTGGCCTGGGGTAGGCAAGAGGAACAGAAGGAGAGAACATGTCAGGTCAGGGGCAGCAACATGAACAAAAATAGTCCATCTAAAACCACGCCTAGCTCTCTACCATTTCAAATATTCCCCTTAGGTCAATGTCCGCACCCCCGCGGAAATCTAATTAGTATAGTACAAAAATCCACATAAAAAGCCCTCGGTTTAAGCATCCGCCAAAGTTACACGTCCGCATCTGCGGGGAAAGGTGACAGAGCTAGAACAGTGTTTGTCAGACCATGAGACATCCCGAAAATCGGTCTTCTCACAAAATCGTCTGTAGCCTCCGAACGGTTTGCCCTACAAACTATTATACCCCTTTATGGAAATATGAGACTCTCACGTCTTGGGACTCGTCTGAAGTCGGTACAGTCGATCCGCCAACTTCTGTCTGTACCTTCCGAACAGTTTGGGCAGACTAATATGACCCCTCTGAGTAAAGGTGACTCTCACAAACATGTACAGTACCAGTCAAAAGTCTGGACACAACTACTAATTTCAGGGGTTTTCTTTATTTTTACTATTTTCTACATTGTAGAATAACAGTGAAGACATCAAAACTATGAAATAACACATATGGAATCATGTAGTAACCAGAAAAGTGTTAAACAAATCAAAATATATTTTATATTTGAGATTCCTCAAATAGCCACCCTTTGCCTTCATGACAGCTTTGCACACTCTTGGCATTCTCTCAACCAGCTTCATGAGGTAGTCACCTTGAATGCATTTCAATTAACAGGTGTGCCTTGTTAAAAGTTAATTTGTGGAATTTCTTTCCTTCTTAATGCGTTTGAGCAAATCAGTTGCGTTGTGACAAGGTAGGGTTGGTATACAGAAGATAGCCCTATTTGGTAAAATACCAAGTCCATATTATTGCAAGAACAGCTCAAATAAGCAAAGAGAAACGACAGTCCATCATTACTTGAAGACATGAAGGTCAGTCAATACGGAACATTTCAAGAACTTTGAAGGTTTCTTCAAGTGCAGTCGCAAAAAACATCAAGCGCTATGATGAAACTGGCTCTCATGAGGACCGCCACAGGAAAGCAAGACCCAGAGTTACCTCTGCTGCAGAGGATAATTTCATTAGAGTTACCAGCCTCAGAAAATGCAGCCCAAATAAATGCTTCACAGAGTTCAAGTAACAGACACATCTCAACATCAACTGTTCAGGGGAGACTGAGTGAAATCAGGCCTTCATGGTCGAATTGCTGCAAAGAAAACACTACTAAAGGACACCAATAAGAAGAAGAGACTTGCTTGGGCCAAGAAACACGAGCAATGGACATTAGACCGTGGAAATCTGTCCTTTGGTCTGATGAGTCCAAATTTGAGATGTTTGGTTCCAAACGCTGTGTCTTTGTGAGACGCTGATGATCTCTGCACGTGTGGTTCCCACCATGAAGCATGGAGGAGGAGGTGTGATTGTGTGGGGGTGCTTTGCTGGTGACACCGTCTGTGATTTATTTAGAATTCAAGGCACACTTAACCAGCATGGCTACCACAGCATTCTGCAGCGATACGCCATCCCATCTGGTTTGCGCTTAGTGGGACTATCATTTATTTTTCAACAGGACAATGACCCAACACACCTCCATGCTGTGTAAGGGCTATTTGACCAAGAAGGAGAGTGATGGAGTGCTGCATCAGATGACTTGGCCTCCACAATCACCCGAACTCAACCCAATTGAGATGGTTTGGGATAAGTTGGACCGCAGAGTGAAGAAATAGCAGCCAACAAGTGCTCAGCATATGTGGGAACTCCATCAAGACTGTTGGCAAAGCTGGTTGAGAGAATGCCAAGAGTGTGCAAAGCTGTCATAAAGGCAAAGGGTGGCTACTTTGAAGAATCTAAAATATATTTGGATTTGTTTAACACGTTTTTGGTTACTACATGATTCCATATGTGTTATTTCATAGTTTTGATGTCTTCACTATTGAGTTTAAATGTATTTGGCTAAGGTGTATGTAAACTTCCGACTTCAACTGTAGCTTAATACTGCCAGGGGCAGTATTAAGCTACAGTTGAAGTCGGAAGTTTACATACACCTTAGCCAAATACATTTAAACTCATGCTGTGGTAGCCAGTCTTTTTTCTCAATGATTACCTGGGTTCTTCAGGTTCCAGGAAGCCAGGCGGCCAAAGATGTCAAAGAACTCATACAGGTGTTGTTTGCCAGCCTGGGGGATCATAGGTAGCAGAGTGATCAACACCAGGACTCCAGTTATGAGGACCACAACGTCTGAATCCGTCTGTACACCAAGGAAAGAGAAACAGTTAACCTGAGGATACAAATTAAAGAGGTCCAGGACACTTGATATAATAAGCCTGTGCTTCCATGTATTCCTAGAACCAAAAACATATATTAAAGGAGACCTCTGTGGCTATTGGCCCATCTTTCCCTCCTACCTACAATAAAACATATTTTCAGTATTTTTATTTTTAATACCTTGAGGCATTTGAGCAGCGAGAGCAGCAGCGGGTAGCGGGCGATCTTGTGGATCCAGGACGGCTGCTTGCGAACCACGTGGCCAAGCAGAGTGAGGGTGGACAGCCGGCAGGCCTGCTTGGTCATACACTCGTTCATCTTGTCCAACAGGTGCTGTGGTGGGCAAATTAGAAACAACATTGGGCTTTAAGACACTCATACTATTCATTGTTACTTAATACATGTTTTATGATTTGATTTGATCAATTAAGAGAGTTAAAGTTATTTAATTAACAATGGATGAAAAATGGGGGTACATTACTCTCTTCAGATAAAGGTGATGGTGGGGTAAGGCAGCTCTCACCTTATCATGTGGCTCTCTGACTGACGAGAGGATATGCATGGCCTGGGCCGAGTTAGTCTCCAGGAAGTAGTCCACCAGTCCATTCAGCAGCATGGACCCTCGCTCTGCACAGAGAGGAGGGGAGAATGAACGTAGTTCCAACATCCACATTATGGCCCACAATATGGCTGCATAATAGAATTTGCCAGAGCCCTCTATTACAATCATCAGAGTACAGGTTAAAGGACGACTGACCAAGTCCAAAAGACTGAGTGACTGAGTCCAAAAACACCCTATTAAAAAGCAGAGTTCTCACCAGTGCTGAGGTGCTCATTGATAAGGCCTTTGATCTCCTCCAGTTGGCGGATGTCAGATGACTCCAGGAGAGGGAGGAGGTCCCCTACGTTGGGCTGCTCTCTGGCCATGGTGACAGCGGTGGAGGGGGTGGTGGTGGCAGACTGTCTCTGTCAAGGCCTGAGGAGAGCAGGGGGTGTCCCAGTCGTCTCTCTCACAGCGTCCTGCTGCCCTGGCTGGAGGGCTCCCTGGGCCTCCGGCCAATACAGTCTCCAGGCACCACTACAGGACAGGGCAAGCAAAAGGACAGTACAGGGTCAAACCTTACTCAGCACAAGTTAGAGAACTTCATTGATACACTACATAGCCAAAAGTATGTGGACACCTGCTCGTCAAACATCTCATTCCAAAATCATGGGCATTAATATGGAGTTGGTCCCCCCTTTGCTGCTATAACAGCCTCCACTCCTCTGGGAAGGCTTTCATTAGATGTTGGGACATTGCTGCGGGGACTTGCTTCCATTGAGCCTAAAAGAGCATTAGTGAGGTCGGGCACTGGTTGGGTGCCAGATGGTGAAGTGTGATTTATCACTCCAGAGAACGCATTTCTACTGATCCAGTGTCCAATGGCGGCGAGCTTACCACCACTCCAGCCGACACTTGGCATTAAACATGGTGATCTTAGGCTTGTGTGCGGCTGCTCAGCCATGGAATCCCATTTTATGAAGCTTCCAATGAACAGTTCTTGTGCTGACGTTGCTTCCAGAGGCAGTTTAGAACTCGGTAGTGAGTGTTGCAACCGAGAACAGACGATTTATAACGTGCTACACGCTTCAGCGGTCCCGTTCTGTGAGCTTGTGTGGCCTACCACTTCGAGGCTGAGCCGCTGTTGCTCCTAGATGTTTCCACTTCACAATAACAGCATTTACTGTTGACTGGGGCAGCTCTAGCGTGGCAGAAATTTGACAAACTGACTTGTTAGAAAGGTGGCATCCTATGACGGTGCCACGTTGAAAGTCACTGAGCTCTTCATTAAGGCCATTCTACTGCCAATGTATGTCTATGGAGATTGCATGGCTGTGTACTCGATTTTTACACCTGTCAGCAACAGGTGTGGCTGAAATAGCCGAATCCACTAATTTGAAGGGGTTTCCACATCCTCTTGGCCATGTAGTGTATGTAGGCTATTACAAACAACAGCGTCACTCCACTGGGATTCTAGAAAAGCATCAATTGTAGCCTAATACCACATGATTATGACCCTCACATAGCCTAATCTAAAAAGTCACAGTGTACAGACAAAACATGAGCAATGTTCTAAATGGCATTTAGACTAGCTTCATACATATTGGCATCATTAGGCTTGTTACAATGCAGTTCCTACATGCCAAGGGTATAAATAAGGAAGCCGGTAGGTACCAATGGTAGTTTTGATATAGCCATGTGAAATCTACCACAATAGTTCTAATGCAGTGAAACAGTGACAAATCCGAAGAAATTTGCTCTGACCACATTTGGCCCACTGGAGCAGACAAAAACACAATCTTAATAATCTCTGTATGATATCTGCGTCCACCATCTACCAGAGTGGTTTGTCATAACATTCTGTGAGTGTTTTCACAGAACCTCTTCCTCTCAGTGACTCAACCTTTCAAAGGAAAAGAGGACATAAATAATCGTAATAGACAGGTCATTATCACCAGGATGTCCAACAGCCCTGCTAATGCTTTCTCAGGAGTAATGAATCAGCCATAGAGGTCTTACCACCACTCTTCCATCAACATCTAGCCTAGCCTACACAGTCTAATGAAGGTAAGCCACAACACAACCAACAGGAGCTGAAAACAACTAAAAATCTAAGAGCATGTTAGTGCAATAGAGCATACTACGTTCATTGAAGCTTTATTCTCCTGTAAGTCGCTCTGGTTAAGAGCGTCTGCTAAATGACTAAAATGTAAAATGTAAATGTATTCTCAAATCGGGCCACACCCCTGGTCTCTATATGTTGGACAAAACAGCAAGAATTATTATAATCTCATATTCCCACTCCAATGACATGATTACATTAAGCCTATTTCTTACCCTCCATCCTGTAACTAGGCTCCTCTCCTGTTTGATTCTTTACTGTGTTTCAGTGTGTGCATCTGCTGAGAAGAAAGGTTGACAGGCAGGCACAACTGTTAGTCTATAGACATCACTGTTCTGAGGCTCTCCCGCACTAGTCTCCAAGGTATCAATTAGCTCCTTTGTCTTAGTATTGGGCTGGATGTGTTGAGTTGAATTTGAGTGTTTTCAATGTTTTGACGTCTTGCAGGGCCAGGGCCACAGTCAGTGGCACAAACAGGAACAACACTCAGAGTGACCTCAAGCAGCAGCAGCTCCTGGCAGCTCTGGAACACTCAGGAGGACACCATTAGCCTTTATGCAGCCCCATGCACTTTCATGTAAACACTGGAAATTACATTTGGATGTGTACAAGCCGTTAAAAAGGGTAGGTAGCACAAATGTAACCACATGTAAAATATGGATTTGATTTATTATACGCATCAAAAGTCCCAATGCAAAGTTACACCTCACTTTTCAAGTTATTACAACTGATCTGAATTACGAAGAATGCCAAAGTCATGTTGGAAAATGTCAGAAGCCTATTCCCTATAAACTCAAACAGAAATAACTTCAAATATATAACTTAATTAAACCAAATTGTTTGCACTCATGACTACTGGTTTCAATTAAATTTTCTGCCAACTTACAAGCAAATATTTTATGAATGTATTGTTACAAATCAACTTGCAAGGTTGCTAGCCAACTAGCCTGCTAACATTAGCCCTACTAGCCTGCTAACGTTAGCCCTCCCAGCCTGCTAACGTTATGTTAGCAGTGCATGAGTCAGACAGTTGCTATCAACCCCTAGCTTACAGCTACATTAAAGTAAACCAACGTTTTGGAAATGCATAACTCCATCTAACCAGTTATCAAAGAATGTTAGGTATATGCAGTTATCTTAGCCAGCAAGCTGGCCAGCCAGCTAACGTTAACTATTTAGCCAACTAGCTATTAATCTAGGAAGCCTAGCCAACCACCACGGTTATGGTCAGCAAGCTAGAGCCCAACTACTGGAGACCAGCTAGAACACAACCAAAACATAACCGCAGATTAAAAGAAAAGAGAGAGCAGAGACTTACAGATTGATGGCTGGGGCCTATCCGATGGTAAAACTTTTAAAAGAGTGCAGGTTGAGTTAGCTACAGGGCTGAGGGAGTCAGGGAAATCCAAAATAGATACATTCCAGATGTCCACGCTAGCACTAAGCCAAGGTGGATATAGTTACAAACTCCCGTAGCCTACTTCACAGAGAACATGACAAAAAGTTGAGAAAACAAAAAGGAGAACAGACTAGGTACTACACAATTAAAGCAAGCAGGTATGATTTTCTCCTTCGTTTTGAGCCCACAGCAAGAAGCCATCATAGACTGCCGTTCTAACGGGTTCCCACTAGATAACAGAACCACAAGGTTCGTGAAGAGTATGCTGCAGGGCCGCACGTGCCCCATCTGCTCCTTGTTTACATCACACTTCCTCTTGATTGGTGGATTGTAACTCACCATCAACACTTGGTCTGGAATGCAATTACATGCTAGCGTGGCTAACTTTAGCTAGCTACCGAGCAAGCGTCTGAACTCGGTAGCACAGAGTACTTTACTGACTTTATTGTCACCGTGGGGTAATTTTGTTGCAGTATCATGTACACATTTAAAGTGGTGTTTAAATAGAATACACAATAAATTGACAATACAAAATCGTTACATACAGTATATACCGATGAAAGAAGACCAGCCTGCTGGCCTTACTGGGTGGATAGGAACATTAACCAGAGCTGTTTAGGAGGGATATCACACCTGGCACAAATTATTGTCTGTTTTTCCTGTCAGGGGGTGCCCTATACCTGCACCCAGAGGGGAGTAGTTCAAAGTCCAGGTACAGGGGGTGGCTCGGGTTTTAAATGATTTTTTGAGCCTTGTTGAGGGCCCTGACCTTAAAAAGCTAATCCAAGCCTGTATGTTTGACTAAAAGTACCTTGTGGTGATAATCATTCTTAGCATATTTTCCTGGCTGACAGTGCCATTGCCAAACCAACAAACAATACAAAAAGGTCAAATACTCTCACTGAAAGATTTGTAAAACCGAGTCAGTATAGTAGTCAACATTAAAAGAGCCCAGCTTTGAGTAGAGTAGATCCTCCATTTGAGGTTGACAAATAGTACATTGTGGGTAGTTTAGAAGATATCCGTAAATACTTTCATAAATATGTAATAACCCAAAAACATAACTATGTTTGTACTTATAAGTAACCAGATCGTGACCACAACTAAGTCTTTGACCACACTGTCTTTAAATTGGTGGGGTAAAAACTCATGCTTCCTACCCTTTATGCGCCACCCTCACTCATAAATAACTTCAGAAACAAAATCCATTTGAAGCATTATAGTTAGCTAAATTCATTTGAAGCAGCCATTAGGCTAGTTCTATGGACTCAACTGGCCTAGGATTTTATAATAATTCTGTCATCATTTCCTAGTTGTGCTCTGTGCTCTCCACAATCTGAGACAATGGACCTGATGCTCAGAAGGAGGATGATGAGTTAGCTAGTGCAATAGACTACTTGCGCAAAGGTAGACCCTATCTAGCCTACTAAAATTTGTATCAACTTAATTTAGAGTAGTAGCTAGCTACCGTGCCTTCCGAAAGTATTCACACCCCTTGACTTTTTCCACATTTTGTTGTGTTACAGCCTGAATTTAAAATGGTTTAAACTGATATTATGTTGTCACTGGCCTACACACAATACCCCATAATGTCAAAGTGGAATTATGTTTTTTAATTAAAAATGAAAATCTGAAATGTTTTGAGTCAATAAGTATTCAATCCCTTTGTTATGGCAAGCCTAAATAAGTTCAGGAGTAAACATTTGCTTAACAAGTCACAATAAGTTGCATGGACACACTCTGTGCAATAATAGTGTTTAACATTATTTTTTTAATGACTACCTCATCTCTGTACCCCACACATACAATTATCTGTAAGGTCCCTCTGTCGGGCAGTGAATTTCAAACACAGATTCAACCACAAAGACCAGGGAGGTTTTCCAATGCCTTGCAAAAAAGGCCACCGATTGGTAGATGGGTAAGAAAAATAAAAAAATACAGGCATTGTATATCCCTTTGAGGTATATCCCTAATTACACTTTGGATGGTGTATAACTACACCTAGTCACTACAAA